CCTGAATATAATTGCCAACCATGTCCACCCCTTTATGACCACAGTGTACCCAAGTGCAAAAGTAAAATGGCCGGTGAGTATATTTGTTTAAATATAAATTGTATTTGCACTAATTTGTACAAGGATGGAACAATGTAACCATTTATAGATCGAGCAACCTTATAACGCCCGTCCCTAGATTGAATTACCTTTCCAAAGAAAATTATAGGTAAGTGGTAAACACTGTTGGCTCATTTGCCTCATTGCGGCTGGTTGGCTGGGACCTCTATGTGGAGCTTGCACGTGCTCTGGTTTCCTCCAGCAGTCCAACTGGGAGGAAATTAGTTAAATGGTGATTCTAAATTAGCCCTGTGTACCCTGGATAGGGGCCGGGATAGGCTCCAAACCCACCGCTATCCTGCTAAGAAAAGTGATGCTTTGGACTGTATGTATGCATTAACTAAATAAAGGGTTTAAAGGAGATAAACATCCTTCAAACCTGCATTATCCTAAAGACTGGCCTTCTGCTTATAATCAACGAAATCTAAAACCTCAACAGGAAAGTTCAGTGTAGATGAGTCCACTTTTTTATAACATGAGCTATATAAGGAAAAAATAATAGCTGATCTAAGGTCGCATGAGACAACTGCATTCAGGACTTGAGTTATATCTGCTTATACAAATAGTTGGAGGTTGCAGGTTGGCGCTTAACGTCAGCCCGATATTTTTGAGCGTACAGCGCCCTCTGGTGTTCAGAAGATTTAGCTACAACATAACACCAGTGAAGGTGACTTAACGTAGAGGAAAAAGTTTGTTAGACGGGAGAGAATAAATATAAGAATATTTCAGGACAGGGTTTGTGCAGATTTGATTTTAAAGAACTCGGTTTCTCTTTTTTGTATTATATTCCAAAAACCATTCCTGGGTCGTAAACAGTTCAAAACTGTTGGGGTTGGTGTTTATTTATCCCGGATCATGAAAGACTCCTGAAATAAGGAAGTGGACTCACCTTAGATCAGCACGCCAGAGGTGAGGGAGTGGCTACCTGCCCCTTCTGCTCGACTAACAGTGCGAGAGGCGAACTGACGTGCCCAGGGCTCTCCGGGAGGAATTGTACTCTCCATAAAGCTTTTATTCTCAGGGAAGTTCAATCAGAATCAGGTAAGACTCAAAGATTAACTCGTGTTTATGTTTCTGTGAGCACAGGGGTTTCCAGATACTGCTGAACAAACCATTATGATTAATCCGAGTGTTTGCCATAGGCCCAAATGTACTGTACAAGTTAATAAAAGACTGATTGACCAACATTTATACGATCTCACAAGCATGCAAATCCAGAATTTGTTTTATTCATTTTCATTCTTTAAACTATCCACAAACGTGAGTTTTACAATATTTTCTTTGACTGATAGGAAAGAGAAAAAAATGTGAGGCTTGTGCAAGTGTGTTTTCAGGATAAGCAGCTGAGTGTCACGGCAGATTGTGGAGTCCTAGCTGCTGTTTTTTCACATAGAAAGAAAACTTTGTTCATTATCAAAGCATGTCTGTGCAGGTGAGGAGGCAGCCCGCCGCATTCCAGTGCCTGGGGTCATGACGTTGCAATATGCAGACCCTCAGCACAAATGTGTTTAGCGAGTAAGCCTGCCTGAGTGCCTGCCTGCGCTGTGTTTCCACCAGGAACAGAGGTTACACAATAACTGCTGTAGTTTTATCATCTCTACAGGAGAGCAATTAACTTTTTTTTTTACTGTCAGATATCAAGAGTAAGATTTGTTTCTAATATATATACACACACATAGTAAAAAAGGTAGGTAAGATAGGTAACATAATGACCGGTGAGAGTTTTCCGATACCAATTCCCAGAAACACCATGTGATGAGACTTGTCCAAGGAATGGATGTTACTGTCAAGTGTGCATGTCATGACAGATTTTGGGAAACACAGTGTCTTCCATATACACAGCTGTCTGGCTGCTGCTGCTGCTTTAGAAAGAAACCCGAGAGGCTGTCAGAGGACGTGCAAAATAGAAAGCCTAACTAATATCAATACTAGATTTTTTTATTTTATAACTTTTCACTTAGGCCCAAATAAATGTCAGTAAAAGTGAAGGATTCAGTCATTTGACTGAAAAACAAAATAACCCTATCAGAGAGTTGCAGAAATTTCAGGAGCGGGCAAATCAACAGCCTGGTACATTCTTAAAAAACAATGAATGCACTGGCCACCTCAGCAACACCAAAAGGCCTGCAAGTCCACAGAAGATGACTAATGTGTGTGATGACAGGATTATTTCCATGGTTAAGACAAACAACTTCACAACATCTAAAGAAGACAAGAACACACTCAGGGAGATAGGTGTATCATTGTCAGTATCTACCATGGAGGCGTCTGCATGAATGTAAATATAGAGAGTTTGCAACAAGGTGCAAACCGACAAGTTATTCAAGGCAGTGAAATGGGATATTCCGCAACGGGCAAGTCAGTCAACCGAGCATGCTTTTCATTTATTAAAAGAAAAGATGACAAGCATCTCTCAGCAGTAATTTAAAACATATGGTCATATCTTTAAATACATGTTTGCTTTAATGCAGGAGTCATTTAGATGGATGCTGAATAGGAAAGTTTACAGCTAAAAGGAGAGGTTGAATGTAGTGAACAAACTTTAAATTACTGCAAATTATACACTTGAAAACTTGAACTTTGTTCAAGAAAGGCAGTGACTAAACTCAAGATCGTGAAATAAAAGCATCAAATATTTCATATGAGGATTGGTATCTGGGTGCTGCTCCCTGAGCCTGGTTCTGCTGAACGGTTCTTCCTGTTAAAAGGGAGTTTTTCCTCCCCACTGTCACTAACTGCTCGCTCAGACAGGCTTTTTTGATTGCTGTTTTCCCCCCCCCCCTGTTTTTTTCAGGGTCTTTACTTTGCAGTATAACGTGCCTTGAGTTAACTGTCCCTGTGATTGGTGCAAAATAAATAACACTGAACCGAACAGCAACTACTGATATAATACTTACTAATGAACAATTAATTAAGGACTAAAAACCTACCATTATTTTTTCACAATTATATAAAACAGATCACTTCACAAGCTTGAACAAAGATGTTTAATCCTTAAAACAATGAAGAGAGACTGTTTTTATTTCAAGCAACTAACTGATTAATGAACTTGGAGTTGCAGCTTAAGTGTAACTGGTCTCACTCTGATGGGAGCTTTCCAAATAGAGTAAAGTTTTATATGCAAGCTTAAACTTAGCAAAAAGCCAGGTCATGGAAAAAAGTAAGTTTTCACATAATAAATAAAGGATAAAAAATAATCAAAGGAACCTTACAGTGTGTTAGACATTCCCCAGCTGCGTGTTGGTGGCCATTATTTCTCTGAGACCTAATGCATTGCAGAATCAGTTTAGCGTTTCTGTACACCCTCCCCTGTCCTCTAAGTGCAGCCTTGTTTAAAGTTTCTGCCTTGCCACTCATTTTCTTGTGGAATTTCCTTCTCATTTATCAGCGTCCATACGCCCTCCTCAGTTGATGCTGTTTTCATTAGATCCCAGCAGAATAATAGCGGAGACATACAGCAGTAACTCCTCTAGATAATTGTCTGCGGTAATGAATATTTCCACTTATTGTCCCGCTGAGGCCTCTGTTGTGGATGAGTGTTGAAAGAGTTAGTTCACTCCAGCTCGCTCTCAGTTTGTGTTTAAAAAAAAAAAACTCCCTGGAGAGAACAGTCGTTACCATAACAACTCAAGTGCCAGCATGACAGTGTGTGAGTGGCAACAACGCGTGTGCCTGGCAAGTGTCACTTTTGTTCACTTATGAACCAAAAAACTAAAAAAAAACAGTGTTTTTACAGACAATCAGAAGAAAAGACTTCATGGTTGTCTGTGATTTTGTGATTTTACTTGGGGATTTTTAAAAAGTGTGTGTTTGTGTGTGTGTGTGTTGACTTTTTTTTGAGAGCTCATTCTGCCTGACATTACTGTCCTTCTCTAGAATTGGATGGCTCTTTTCCTATAATCAAGAGAGCTCACTGCCATTAAAACACAGGACCTTACTTTGAGGTATCTGAACGTTATTTCTAAATGTATTAATTCATCATTGATATATTAATCTAATCTATCTGATTGTAAAATGAGCAAAGAAAGGCAACAAATCTAACCTGCCATTTTGTGGGAAATTATTTTTGTTAATGATTGAATTGAGACTTGTTTTCTTCATTACTTTCATCACAATAATTCAAAAACCTAAAAAAAGCATAGTTTTTTTTACCATCAGTCTGAAAGTCAGAAGGAAGTAATCTGCAGTTACGTAAGAGGAACTGAAATCATTAAAAAGCGATAAATTGGTCTATCTGAGTGACACAAGTGCTCAGTTGACTATATTTGTGTGTTGTCAGGTTTTTGTTTCTTTTTATTAATTGTGACTCACCGCCAACAAACAAAAGGTTTTTGTTAACGCTCGCCTCTTTCCAGAAATAGTTTGCTTGGCTTTTAAAGCCAGTCTTTATACTTGGTAAGAAGCCCAGTTTAAACAGGGACCTGTCCATGTCTGTGCCTCGTTGTTCCTGATTTGTGTGTTGAAGTGTTAAAAACTAAATCTAGTCTCACACGCTTGCCCAACAGCGTGTTTAAGACCTTACGACAACCAGTGGTCTTGTTTCGATGATTTTTTTTTCTGTCTTGTTGTTGCTGTTGTTGTGGTTGTTGTTGACCCTATGACGTCAAACCCTTCATGGTATACTGTGTAATAAGCCTTATGCAAATATTTTGTCACAAAGGATTTTGCAATGGTGTTTGGCCATTTGTAGCAGTATGTAAGGTTTAGGTTTACTGACAGCAATCAGTGGAATCCACATGTTCAGTCCATGGATGCTTTTTCTTGGAAGTAATTTTAAACTTCACTCTGTCTCCTGGAACCCCTCTTTCAGGCTGCCCACACCCAGGTGATGGTGTAACATGCTGCCTTTGCTTCACACTCCTCTTCTCTTTTTCTTTTCTACACATACACACGCACACACACACATACACTCTTACACACAAACACACCCACTCAGCCCTGCTGGGGAATTCATGGCCTCAGGCTAACAAACACAGTCGAAAAGCAGCAGAAAGCCCTGAAAGAATTAACGCTGCTCGGCTCCCTCACGGACTAACAGCGTGGAGTTTCATTTGTACGGAAACACCTCATGACAGACAGAAGACACTTTTCCGATCGACAGTATTGTGAGGTACGCATGTTGCAGCTAGTTTCTTTTGCTCTGTTTGCTGAGCCTTCAGTTTCTGATTGGTCAGGCAGAATAAGACGGTAAGAGCTTCTGTGCATTTATTTATTTAGTTTTTGTTCACACGGTAATTCCTGCCTTTATCTGTGTCACGTAACCTGTTTGGTCACAGGGTGTACAGCACCCTTGCTTTTCAGAACAGTGAGCAAATTATCGTCTAATTCCAAAAGTGTTTTTATAGCTGTTATTTTATCACAGCCATAAGAACTGTTAAAATCTCAGATCACCAAATGGTCAGTGCAGAATCTCCTGTTGCTCGAATGCATTTAAAAATATTCCTATCTGCTCTTGGAGGATAGATAAATATTCCTACATGAAAAAGAAAGGATTTTATTTTATTTTTATCATCGCATGTGGTTTTAACAAACCATAATTTTAATTCAGGACAGCACAGCGGTGCAGTGTTTGGGACTGATGCCTCACACCAAGAAGGCCTCAGATTTGAATCCGCCGACCGGCTGGTACTTTTCTGTGTGCAGTTTACCTGTTCCTCTTGCTCTCTCAAGGTACACTGTGGATTTCTTCCAGTCCCAAAATGCTTGTTAGGTCAATTGGCGATCCTAGATTAGGGGGGAATATGAGCATGACTGGTTGTCTGTCTTGGTGTGTTAGTCATGTGACAGCTGAAAAAAGCTGCAGTGGCTTCAAAACCATTAAAATTGGTTTAAGAAAAAAACACTAAAAAATGAATTAAGATTTAGTTAAATGTTATGTATATAGTCTATGCCAATCTCGTGAGCAAATCATAGTATGAGACTTAAAGCCCTTACTAGATTTAAACAAACATATATAAAACATTAACAATTATTATGAAGGAGGGGTCTTTATTGATTTTTAGTATTTTGGATTTAGAATGACAGGTCTGCATGCTCAACGTAATGCTGAACCAGGAGGCAGTTAGCATATCTTATCAGTTTTGGTGGTAGGCAGATTTTGAGTCATTGTACCAAACAGAGCATCACTGGTGCTGGGTTTTTGGGTCTGAATCTGACACCTTTGAGTCTGTGCCACCATCTATTCAGCTGAGATGTGTGCTATGCTAAATGTGCTGCAGAAAATGCACATTATAGAGTCTGGCCTGCTGTGTCAGACAACTGCAATATTTCCAAATTACTACAAGTATTTGTGATGTAAAAGGTTTTTACATCTGAAATCAAAAGACAACTTATACGGCAAAACTGATAGTTTTGTGACAGGCCAATATATAGCTCTAAAGGTAAGCTAACTGCCTGCTAGCTATAGCATACTGGACATAAATGAGAAGAAACAGAATTCCTAGAATTTCAAATGACTAAGTTATCCTTTAATAAAACTCAAAGAAGCCAGTTTCTTATACTTAAAAACGACTCAACAGTCGCTCCATTACTGAAGTACTATGTCAGACCTCCTTTTGCCTTCAGAATTGCCTTAATTCTTCATGGTATAGATTCAGCAAAATTCTGGAAATGTTCTTCAGAGATTTTGGTCCATGTTGACAGAATAGCATCACACAGCAGCTACATATATTATTTTTTTGTCTAAAGAGTATACCAATGTATGCATACCAAGCTTATGCATAACCTTGGTATTCATACCAACAGTTGTGTTAAAAACATTGCTACATTCCCCCGGTGAGCTAGTAGTCTCTGCAGTTGGACCGCAAATGGCATTTAACACCAAATTAATAGAAAGTTTAACTACAAAGTTTATAATGACCATAAACACGAGATTAAAAATGTATGTTTGAACAAAGCAACATGAATTATGTTATTCTTTTGCCTGACAGATTTTCTGTGTAGGTTCTCAGTGATCCAGGTCATGGTTAGCCTAAGGACCTTGGAAAGAAAGCAACTGGACCTCTAACTTTCGTGACAGTGTTTCACCTGTCTTACTTTGATATACTCTTTGAACTCTTATCCAAAAGACGGCTCATTCAGCTCTGAAACCAAATGGTCAGGAGTTCCAGGTATTTAAACCCTTAAGAGGGTCCAAGCTCCATAAGAGGGTTGTTGACCCACTATGAATCATGTGCGTCATCACATGAGGCAATGTATGAAAAAACATGTGGGTTATTACCACCAGAGGTTTCACATGAAATCGCTCTGAGACCTCGCCTTACTCTATCACGCGACCTATTGAGGTCACCTGACACAAGATGTGAGTTGGGGTTTTAAGCTTCTGGGAAGTCATTTTAAAACTGCATTGTAGGTGGCTGAGAGGTGTCGTAAGCAACCTCCTCTTTTCAGTCATGGTCGTTCATGGTGGGTTGTGGTGTGTTCCCCACAAGGGGAGCTAGGATGTTGGCAAGGAGCTTGGAAATGTTGTAGGTGGTTGAGTTTATACTGCTAACTAACTTTATACTTCTAAAAATGTCCTCTTAAGGGACTCTCCACTATTTTGGTTTTAGAACTTCCACAGCATGTCTTTTATCCTGTCTTCCTTCTCTCACCCCAACCGGTCGCGCCAGATGGCCACTCCTCCCTGAGCCTGGTTCTTCTGGAGGTTTCTTCCTGTTAAAAGGGAGTTTTTCCTTCCCACTGTCGCCAAAGTGCTTGCTCATAGGGGGTCATATGATTGTTGGATTTTTCTCTGTATGTGTCTACTTTAGAATATAAAGCGCATTGAGGCGACTGTTGTTGTGATTTGGTGCTGTATAAATGGAATTGAATTGAATTCAATTGAATTGAACTGAGGCAGCCTCTTGGATGAAAGGTCAAATGTCTCCACAAAGTCGAAGAAATCCAGTCACTTGGATGAACTGGTAGTTAACAGGTGGCAAAAGGAATGCTGTTAATAGAGAAACAGTGTTTAGTAGCAAAATATTATGGAGATGAAAATGCAAAGAATTCAATATTTCATTGTACATTTTTGTTGCATGTTTGTGAATGGCTGCTCTCAAAACGGTTTGAGAGCAGCGATTAGTTTTACTCCAAAACCTTGCAGGTCCTCACTTGAAATCTGGTTGAGAAAGAATGTAATCTGGATATCTCAGAAAAAATGATATGAATCATAGCAGCCACATGGCAAAAGATCACAGCTTCAAAGTGAAGCATCGCACGACTGTAGTAGTATAATGAAGCAACTCACAGAACAGTGTGTCCTTTTCTTTTGAAGAAATTATTATCACTCAGTTCTTCCAGTTAAACCTTTTGTTTACCCAGATGTCCCATCTAAAAAAAAAAAAGCACCATGCATATAAAGTATCGTTTTTCTTTTCTCTGTTTAAAGGATGATTTTGATGTGATGATGCCAACCCAGCTTTGACAATGTATGAGGTGATGTCCGGTGACACCCTGTCCTGGAAGGTGCCCAGTCCACGACAAAATGAAACAGAGGCTGGCCCTGAAGAACAATTCTCTGGGGATGGTGGACCTGTCAAAATCCTTAAAGTGTGCTTCAGCACCAACAACAACCTGGGCAAGAATTTCAAGCTGGTGAAATGTGACAACTCCTGGCAAATTAGGGTGAGAATGTAGCCCAGAAAATATGGGGAAGAGAATTTCATTGTCAAAAAAGACGAAAAGGGAAGTGCCAAATCGTGTTTCCGCCACTTAATGTTATAATTTTATCGCTATTACATATTTAAACGAGTTTAAACCAGAAATTTCAATAAACTGAAGGATGACCAAAAATCTTTTCAAAAAGTATTTTTTAAACTTCTTTTTTTCTCCTTCAGGCTATCATTCGTTCAATTCTGGTCAGCGGGCGTTTAGGGCCAAACGTTCAACACGCAGGATGCTATGGCCTCATGCTAAAGCACCTGAAGTCAGAAGAACTTCACTGGCTCCATCCAGACCTGACTGTCGGAGAGGTGGAGAAGCGCTATGAGAGCAATCATCTGGAAGCCGAGTGGAGGTACTGATGGACTTTTAGGATATTAATCTTGTAATTAACATATGTACTTTTTGTAAGCTTTATTGTATTGAGTTTTATTTGTAAGCTGATATCTATATTTTCCTTTCGAGCACAGATATGACCTTCGTATCAGATACATTCCTGTGAATTTTGTGGAAAAATTCAAAGATGACAGATCGACCTTTGTGTATTTTTACCAACAGGTAACTGTATTTGTTATCCTGTCATAAAAGCTTCCTGCCTCTATTGTACTTGTTGTTGTTTAACTGATATCCTGTGCATCATTTTAGCAAATCTCGTGTAGAGTGTGTTACTTTAGTTGCTTAAGCCTAGCCAAATTTGCTGCTGCCTTTGCAAGTCACTTTGCAACCTAACTCTACTAAAGAAGCCTGTTGTCATTGATGACAGATTGGGTTGGTGCTGCAAAGTCAAGTAAAAATCACTCTAGGTGGAAATGGTTTTCTTTTGATTTAAAGAGTCCTGACTGACTTTGTTTGAAGTTCTATTTAGAATTTTATTGTTGGTATTCGCATAAAACTCAAATTTTTGACATGTTATTATAGGTGCGTAGTGATTACATGCAGTATCATGCCAGTAAAGTCAGTGACGGGATGGCATTGCAGCTTGGTTGTTTGGAGATCAGGTGAGTCACTGCATTCCTTACCTCGCTGTGAGTGTGAGGTGACTGAACTGGGTGTATTTACTGTACACTTTCCAATTGTCTCCCTCTTGCAGGCTCTTTCATAACTTAACCCGTGTTGCTGTGCTTTGTATTTAATAGAATGATCAAAAGCTATAGAATACTTAAACTGCTATTTTTATTAATCATTTTGTATCTTTATTCTCACTCTGTTTTCACAGGCGGTTCTACAAAGACATGAATGCAAAAGGTCTTGAAAAGAAATCTAACTTTGAGCTGCTAGAGTAAGTTTTTACTTTCTGTACACTACAAAGAGTTATCGCTCTAATATTACATTAAGGGCTTTTAGATCCAGTTTAACTGGTGTTGTTTAATTACGTTACCCTAAAAGTGACCCTTCATGGGTTGTGAACCCTCAGCTTCAAAACATGATTAAAAATGCCTTGAATTAAACTAAAAGACCATTTTTTAAATATTAAATCAGAATCAGAATACCTCATTAATCCCTAGGGAAATTATGTAATACTAAGCAAAAGACAAAGAAAAAACGTCACAGCATGAAGGAAAATCAGGACCAATTCAAACAGGCTGCATACCGGTTGATGCAAGCTCAATATAAAATTTAAATGACATGATGATGATTTAAAAAGCCGATACATTATTATATATTACATTTATTTATTTCTTTGAGACACCCTAAATATGTGTAGCTATTTATTGTTCCTTACCAAAAAGCTTTAACCGAAATTTTTATTTATATTTATTGGCCATTATAAATGCCAGTACCAACAGTTTGACAAACAGCTAACATCAGCAATAGATTGCCTTTCAAGCTCTAGAGTGTTTTTAATTATGAATATTCTTCTAAGGTTTTTTGTTTGTTTTACCAATTTAGAAAAGAAGTTGGCCTGGACCTTTTCTTTCCACAGCAACTGATTAACAGCATGAAGGTAAATTTCTCTAAACATGACTTAGTGTGTCCTACCTAAACAGGCACCCACAATTTATGAGACTTCCTTTGCAAATTAATATTGAGTCACTATTGTGCAAAAGTGCAAGTTTTACCATTTTCAAATCTCTGTGGCTGTGATCCAGCCTAGGCCCCTGCGGAAGATGATTCAGCAAACATTTCAGCAATTTGCAACACTCAAGGAGGATGACTGCATGATCAAGTTTTTTGAGACGCTTAAAGATTTCGTCAGCTACGATGAAGAGGCCTTCCCTTGTGAACTAGTGGTGAGCAGGAACATGATGTTCATCTGGAGCAATGAATCATGTCTTATTCATAAATAACAAAATAGACCTCGTTAAGCTTGTCCAGAACTCCAAGATCTGTAGATTTACTGTTTGAGGTATTAATGTTTCAAATGTTTTTATTTGTGAATAGCAAGGCTGGAGTCTGTCTGTGGAGCTGGTCGTCGGTGGGAGAGGAATTCGCCAACGCACACAGAAGGATTCAGCTGTAAGCGTGATTAAGATTTTGTTAATCTTGCACACAGGTTTAACTTCATAATTTAATCATTGCATTCATTCCTTTTGTGTGGCAGGCTGTGTTTTTAGCTGACTTCAAACAAATTAAGAAAGTACAATGCATATCGCAGAACGATGGCAAGGCTCTCCTAAATCTTGACATAGAGGGCGCGAAGCAAGTAAGTGTAATATTCCTCCCTATAGTTTGAAATATTAGGGAATGTCACTCAATAGCTTCCTTTGTTAGGTACACCTCGTTGGTATTTGATTGGACTGTCTTTTCTCTTCAGCACTCCCTCGAGTCTTTGTGGCACAGATTTGGGAAGGTGCTGGAAACATTGCTCAGAGATTTTGATCCATATTAACATCACAAAGTTAATGCAGATTTGTCGGGTGCACATTCATGATGTGAATCTCGCATTTCACTGCTCTAGTGGATTAAGATCTGAGGCCATTTAGTACAGTGAACTCATTGCTATGTTTAAGAAAGCAGTGAGCTTTGTGACATGTTGTGTTTCATCAGAAGATGGGTACACTGTGGTCAGAAAGGCATGGGCATGGTTAGCAAATGTGTTGGGTGTTGAAACTATGTTCAGCTGGTGCTAGATCAACATGTACCAAGAAAAGTTTCCCCCACACAATTACAGCATCACCAGCAGCATGAACAAGGCAGGATACATTTATGCTTTTATGTGTTTTAGACCGAATTCTGACCCCCACTAAGCAAATGTTGCAGCAACATTAAAGATTCATTAAACAAGTATTTTTTCCTATCTTATGTTGTCCAGTTTTGGTGAGCTTGTGTGAATTGTAGCCTCAGCACATAGTGTGGTCTCCTGCTGTTGTAGCCCATCTGCTTTAAGGTTCGATGTCTTGTGCATTCAACACCTACTTGTGCCGTTCTATCAACTCGAACTCTGGTGATTTCCTTCTGACTTCTAGCGTCAACCAGGCATTTTCGTCCAGAGAACTGCTGCTCATTGGATATTTTCTCTGTTTGGACCACTCTCTGTAAAGTTCAGTGTGTAAAATACTGAGCACCAACAGCCATGTTGGTTGGCTGATGAGTTATTGGTATTTTCTAAACTGGCCATTCAGTCTATGTATTTTTGTGACATGCCATTGTGTCCTCATTGATAGCGTCTGACCATCAATGTGGCCACGGTCGCTACGGCTGAGAACATGATTGATCTTATTGACGGGTACTGCCGCTTGGAAAACAACACAGATGAAAGTGTTATCCACCGACCAAATAGAGGTGTGTAAGATTTATCTATTAAATAAAGGGCAACATATTGTTTTTAAAGATTGACCATTGTCTTAAAAGCTGTTTGAAATATATTCTTAAAAGTCAATCTGGATTCTCATTACTACTTCCTATCCTAGATGCCAATGCAAGAACCTCCCTACCTGAAATTCCTACTGGGTAAGTGGCTGTTTTACTGAGTTATGCAGTCAGTGCTCTAATTTGAACATTTCTGACTTTGGCTTTCCCCCATTTTGTCTTTTCCTTGGAGCAGCAGAGAGACGAGCTCGCTCAGACACAGTATGGGTGAGCTCAGAATTTTAACAACCTATGCTGTACACTTTTTAATAGTTAAAAACCAAATTCCTTTTAATAGTGACGTTATTATGAAGACAATAAAAATGAGATCTTTTGCATTTTTAGGTTCAGATATCTACTGTGAGATTGATGAAAGGCCAAAATCAGGTTCGGAAAAGTCTATATTCAATTCTGTTACAGGATCATACCTGTGAAAACTCACTTTTTAATGTTCACTGTTACTGTTGCTCTGCAGTTGTGAAATACGGCATCGACCGAAATGACATTGTTCTCGGCCGAATCCTCGGCGAGGGTTTTTTTGGGGAAGTCTACGACGGAGTATACAAAAAAGCTGTAAGTTTATAGGGTTTAAGCGCGGTGTGTTACAGAGCATCTATAAAATACATGATTGCATTAGAAATAAATGGCAGCACGCAAAGTGAATGTGCAGTAACATGTGTTTAATTGGACAGAATGGTGAAAGAGTTAATGTGGCAGTGAAAACCTGCAAAGACTGTTCACCTGACGTGATGGAAAAATTCATGAGTGAAGCAGGTACGCAGAGAAAAAGATTTCTAAAACAGCTGCTACGTTCACCACAACTGTGCCAGCAGTAACTGACAGAGTTGTCCTGATAAGTTGTGATGTTTGTGTTTGTCAGTAATCATGAAGAACCTCGACCATCCCCACATCGTCAGACTGATTGGAATCATAGAGGAGAATCCCGTGTGGATTGTCATGGAGCTTTATCAGTATGGGGAGGTTAGTCCTCATTTCCTGATTGGTTATAGAAAATATGCATTTAATATATGTTCTTTTTTCTTTTTAAACTAGTGTAGCTTCTGGATGCCACAGCAGATGTCGCACATGTGAATTCCTGACTGATTAAACGCATTATTGACTTTCTTGCAGCTGGGACACTACCTGGTTCAAAACAAAGAAAAGCTGACAAATACAACCTTAGTGCTGTTCAGCCTGCAGATCTGCAAAGCTCTCGTCTACCTCGGAGGGGTTAACATGGTACACAGGTACATTTTTTTCTCTTCTTAATTAAAAAATGAATGCTTTTATTCAACAGAAAGGTTACAGTGTTATAAGCTCTGCCTCCTTTGAGCATAAATGATCATGGTCTGACATAAAAGTAGCACCAGCTTAGGCGGGTATTTCAGATATCCTTGTCCCCAGCATCACTTTCCAGTTCCTCCTGGGGAATCCCGAGGAGTTTCCAGTCCAGGAGGGATTATATATCTCGACTCTCGACAGTCGAGATATATAATCCCTCCTGTGGCTTCTGGGTCTACTCGAGGGTCTGCTTCTAAAATGTAATCCACACTTTCAGCTTAAGAATTACAGCCATTTTTACACATAGTCCTCCATTTCCAGAGGTTCAAGTAGTGACAAGCAGTTTGATGGCCAGGTGAGGCATGCTTCTTTGTTAATTCATGGCAAACAAAGCGGACATAATATCTCAAGTTGATTCAAAGAGTTGGATTTGTATTGTTGGGTTTTCTCCCTCAAGGCATCCTACTCAGTCGCCTTTTGATTGAAAGTGGGTGCCACGCAGGCAACACAGTTGGTCTGCAACTATTTGCAATCGGTCCACCAGCTAAAAAATTGAATGCAGCCTTTTTTCCTAGTTGCAAGGAGAGGAGCCTACCGTCGTATTTTAACTCTAGTGTGACTGAGTGATGAAGTCGTCACATTTTGGAAAAACTTTTTATTTAATCTTAAAACATTGAAATGAGGAAAGTTGTACTGAAACAGCAGAACACCATGTTCCATTGAGTTGTGTCTGCAGACTGTTTAAGTGCACAATTTCAGGTTTTAACATGCATTATTTACATTTCCCCTGAATCTTGCCTACATTATCCACCTGTACCAACATAAATATCAACCTTTCCTCCAATCCTGTCCGCTCACAGAGACATAGCAGTTCGGAATATATTAGTCGCCAGTCCGGACTGTGTGAAGCTTGGAGACTTTGGTCTATCGAGGTACATAGAGGATGAAGAATACTACAAAGGTAAAAGAGACACTCATGAACTAACACAAATGTTTCATGCAATAAACATAAAATATCAGCTAGATTTATAAAATACTTTAACTGTAAACGCTTCTGTTATGTTTTTCCTACATTTTGATCTTGTTCACATTATTGTTTTAAGTCATGTACGTAATAATTTTGACCACAATTTTAGATTAAAGGATCTACACAGTTAAACCACAGTCTGTTATGTCTCCTTGTCAATAGAAAAATAAAAGAATATTTAAAACAAATACACAAATTAATCAACTTATTTGGAAAAATCTTTAAAAACCATGGCTTTGACTATCTTGACTATAATGCAGTGTGCTAATTTCTTTGCAGCATCTGTGACCCGATTACCAATCAAGTGGATGGCCCCAGAATCCATTAATTTCAGGCGTTTTACCTCAGCTAGTGATGTGTGGATGTTTGGTGAGCTTGTTACGCATTTACCTTCAACAGCACGGTGACATTTTGAGGGTTTGGTGCACAAGAGACTAAGAAACACTCACACATAGAAAAAGGTCAGGTTACTGGTTAATAATCAACCGAAACAAGGGCTACACAGTTTTATGACGAGGCAGGGATTATTTAAGATGATATGGCTCTACATTACAGATAACGTGCACACAAACACACATAACAGTGGACTATTATTCTTCCTTTCTTTGTTTTGCTTTTTTAGCTCAAACACTGATGGTTTACATGGGGGAATTTTAAGCCTCAGAAGGCTCAATATCCCAACCTAACAGCCTTTCATGTGTATTTACTCCTAGTGCTTTTACAAAAGTACTGAAACACTGGCATCCTCTGACCTTTGAGGCCTAAGAGAGTGAGGAATTACCTTTATGATGCCTGACTATTTGATATCCTCCCCTAAGGTAAATCAGTTTTTCTAAAACATAAACAAACACAAGGCCCAGGCCTTGTGACCCTGAATAAGCCTGACAAAGACTCCAATCTGGCCCACTGGACGACTTTGGAAAATGTGAAGCAGGGCATAAATTTTAGCCTTTTCCTTCCTACTGATAAAGACCATGGCCATTCACACTAAACCAATGCAAATAAGTAATAGAGTTCCTGCTTTTTCATTATATGCTATAAAATTTATGATTTTTACAGCTCGTCCCCGGAAAAAAAAAGATATATCCTGTTAATTGATTTTAAAAAAGTTACGTTTTCCAATTCCAGGTCAGTCTGTGCAGTTTTCTGTAATTTTCACATTTATCTCTTACAATTTAAGCCCAAAGCAGCCATATAATGACTAAAAACTGATAGGTGCTGTTGAAATTGCACTTCTTTTTCATGATTAAATATATTAGAGATCAAATGTGTAGTTAAATATCTTTACAATGACAGAAAAGGGAGTTTCTCTCATCCGGCCCACTTAAGATCAAACTGGGCTGTATGTGGCCAACAATGTAAAATGAATTTGTTCTGCACTGTGTGTTTTCATGCACTGAATTCAACCATACTTATGATTTCCATTATGAATTTTTAAGCATGAACTAAACACTATTATTGACCCAGATCTGTAATATTTTCTCACAAAATACATCTTATTTAGTTCATGTATTTCTTTTTGCAACAGTGACTGATACAACTGTGGACATAAAGTGGACTGAAGGCTGATATAGCTAAAATAAAGCTATAGGATATGCATTAAAAACATGAGATATATTACCATACCATAATTTATTTATATATCACTTTATTATAGCACTATATTAGGTAGATTCTGACCCAACAGCTGCTTCCTGTCGGAGAGCCATGGATTGTTTTTAAGTACAAGAATGAAATATTCTATTTTACACGGCTTATTGTAAAATAAAGCAAAATAAAGCTTTTTGAGCTTCATCTGGTGGAAAAATAACTTTTTTGAAAACTGCAATTAATGAAAATAATCAAAAACATGAATAATGAATAGTTATAATTATTACTAACTCCATTACCAAGCACCACAATGACTGCTTCAGGTGGCATTTGTTTGTCTTTGTTTGCTATTGTCAATGCGTTTAATTTCATCCTTATTGCCTGATATTTTCTATTTGTAGTCTATTACACAATCTGAAAATGAATAATGAACTGGAGGGTGAACATTCCCAAGCTTATTTTTGTTTCTGTGTTGTTTTCTAGCTGTGTGTATGTGGGAGATAATGAGTGGTGGACAGCAGCCGTTTTTCTGGCTTGAGAACAGAGCTGTGATCAACCAGCTGGAGCAAGGCATCAGACTGCCCAAACCAGATAACTGCCCTCCTGCCCTCTACTCACTCATGACCCGCTGCTGGTCCTACGACCCCAGTGAAAGACCCAGTTTCACTGAGTTGGTTATGAAGATCAGGTAATTCTTTATGCATTATTAAAAGAAGTGATTATGAAGAATACAAATGGATTGAGATCCTTTAATTAAGGCTTGGTCAGTGGGCCCAATCTTTCTCAGTTGAAGTTTGTGATTATCTGCATAAGCAGATATTGGCCTCATAGTGCTATGTTAAAAAAAAGGTTTATTTTACTCATTTCTAGTTTCATATTTCTATTCTTGACTCCACTAGAGAAGTTTTTTTTTTTTTTTAAATTTTATATTCTTGTAGCCCATCACTTTAGCCATTAACTGAAGCAATCATTGGCTTCTGATTGGCTACAAGTTTGTAGTAGTCTGAATCTTGAGCAATTGGCTCATAGGGATTACATGATGATGACATCATGATTAATATGAGAATATATCCTGTCTATATACATGTGATGGAAAATAAGGAAAACCATCAACCCTTTACTGTGTAGTTAGGTTCATAATCTGTTAGACAAAGACACCATCATACTTCTGAATTTTCAACAACAGTAAAACTGTTAAAATCCAAAGTTGTTGGATTTTAAATCAGACATAATTATTTCCATGGGTAAAAAAACAACTTTACATCATCTAACCAAGTCAAGAACACTGTTAGGGACGTGGGTGTATCACTGTCCCAGTCAAGAGACGTAGACCTCAGTGGAAATAGACAAGGTGCAAACCACTGGTTACACACATCTGTTTCCATGACTAGAACCACATCATAATCCAAAGCCTCACAACAGCTGTCAAACATGGTGGAGACAATGTTCTGGCATGGGCATCTGTGGTGGCCAGTGGAGCTCAGTCACTAGTGTTTATTAATGATATGACTGTCGATAGAAGAAGCAGGATGAACTGTGAAGTGTACAGACCTCAGATTCAGCCAAATTCTGCAAAACTAATCAGTAGGTAAATGGATTATGACCCAAAGCAAATTCAAATTCAAATTCAAATTTATTTGTCACGTACACAGTCATACACAGTACGATATGTAGTGAAATGCTTGGACAACTGCTCGTGACCTAAAGAAAACAAAAAAGGAAAAGGCTATGAATAAGAAAGGAAATAAATATGAAAAATTAAAAAGGGTAAATTTAACTAGGAAAGCATATGTTGGGTCTGTGTTTCCACAGGCCCCACTAGTTTAGAGACTTATTCCTCATGAAGAACACAAGACAAAACAGAACATCTTCAACCGGTCTTTAACTCGCTAACGAGGAAAGGCTTTGGTCAGAACCAGGCTATGGAGCTTAATGCTCCTCACCTATCTCTAGCCCAAGTCCTTCAAAGAGTAGCTTCCCTCGCAGCTATTTATTCCCATGACAGTTACAGTTTACACAATACAACACAACACAAGCACCTCCCACCGTAAAACCACCCCCAATGGTTCTAAGACAAGGCACTGTGTGTGTGTGTGTGTGTGTGTGTGTGTGTGTGTGTGTGTGTGTGTGTGTGTGTGTGTGTGTGTGTGTGTGTGTGTGTGTGTGTGTGTGACCTCCTGCTCACCAGAAGGATCATAAAAGCAGGAAGCTTACAACACAAGAAACAGATCTTCCAGATAGAATGTATCTACAATAAAACCTCAGAGTGGCTGGAGAGGTGGTCAGGATCAGAGGAATCTCTTTGATCCTACTGCTTGAACTAAGACTTTACAAATTTAAGAAACACAGTGACAAAATTCAACAATTTGACTTAACAGCATACTACAAAAACAACCCAAGTATTTCTCAAAACAAAAAGATTGGATATATTTTGTCTGTGGCCAAGTCAGTCAAAAGAGCATATTTTCAGTTACTGGAGATAAAAGTGAATACATAGCATCTCAAAGTAGGTTAAATAGCATTTTTTGATGTCCATGGGTTCTAAACTTCAGGCACTGACTGCAAAGGATTTTTACACAGCCCTTAAAAACATTATCTTTAACTTAGATAAAACAGTCCGATTATTTTTGAGTCTCTGAAAATAGAGGACACTGGATGAAATTGGCCGTAATTCTCAAAAGGGTCATGTAAAATCTGTGTAAAACTCTTTGAGTTAAAAGCTGAAAGTCTAGACTTAAATGCCAACTTGATGGTTTGATGTAAAACAATAACTGGGGTGGTGCATAAAAGGAAAATGACAAAAAATGTATCTTTGTCTCGCAAATTATGGACTTAGTTCTAATAATTCACTGGGTTTTCAGAGCTGGCTTGACACAAATAAAGTTGCTACATTATTTAGTGACTAACTGAAACTACACGTTAAGTTTTTGTGAACGCATTACAAAGGCATGATGTAAAATGTGTCTCAAATTTAACAGTGATGTCCACAAGATGGAGAAGGAGCAGGAAGCGGAGAGAGAGAGAGACAGAGTGCGTTCCATCAAATTTTTCGAGTCCAAGTTCAACATTGACCCCCCGCCTAAGGTATAAATTATTTTTAAGTTTACCTACTGCTCAGTCTTAAAATTTGGTTGTAACAAATGACATTTTTATAATCTTTTACATTTCCTGAAGCCTTCAAGAATGAAACCAGCCCGGTTTGGGAACACACTCAGTATTGGTCTGCACATTCAGGTACTTTTAAGCAACCTCTAGACACATCCTTTGAGGTAGCTTTAATTTTTTTCCATATATAAGTGTGTGTCTGTTTGTATCTGTGCAGCTCAATGAGGCTCTGTGTGCCAGCTCACCTGACCTAGCCAGCCCATGTGACTATCAGTCTCCTGTCGACTCCAGCAACACTCTCGCACTACCTGCCAAGTCGCCCCGGCGCCGCAGCATGGGGGTAAGAGACACTAAGCACTTCCTTTAAAGGTTTAGCTGCACAACCTACTAAAGCACTGTATTATACTGTGTCGAACGAGGATACTCATGCGATTGTTTTAGTAACATTGTAATTACACTTCTCCATCGTTGTACTTGTAGGAGAACGAGTTTTTCAGAGTGGAACGCAACACCGAGGAAGACGCCCAGCTCCTGTGGCAGAGGGAGAAACACCAGATACATGAAACGCTCCGCAAGCAGAAAGAGCAGATGATGGAGGATAAAAAGTGGCTGAAAAAGGAGGAGAGACTGCTGGTGGGGAACAGAGCATCCTTTACTTTTGTCAAACCCCTCTCTGTGTCTCTGTCCTCCTCTGGGTCCGAATGCAGTGTAGCTGTGAAGGCTACATGGAATGAGGCACCATTAAATAATACCAACCTACTTGTCCATCCAAAAAGCCCCACTAGTCTTAAATTGAATGTGCATTTGATAACAGTTCCAAAGAGAGGGTCTATATCTCTGTTGTATGAAATGAACCTGCCTGTTTCTTTTCAGGACCCCATGGGACTAGAAGATACTGCCAATCCAGAGGTAGGTGTGCTCCTGTACAGAGTGTAATTTTAATTACAGGCAGTTTAGTGAATCAATTTAGTTACAATGGAGACATAATTTTTTTCAGATACCTAAAATACAAACAAAGTAAATTAAATGTAAAGTAAAGTAAATGTTTGGGTTTTTTTTTTTACATTGTTGTCAGTCCAGTTGTGACTGTTTGTGATCACTGAAAAATGAGCTTCGTCATAGGTCACACTTCCTGCAGGGATCAGTATAAACCACTATTAGTCAACTTAGTTTAAATCTTTTATTAGATATTTTATTAAATAGACTTCAGGTGCATAAGTTTCTATCTATCATGCCATTGTCTGATGTACGGTGGCCCTGTGAGGCCAAACGGACTGTAAGAAAACACCAGCAATAAGAAAAGTGCTGCAAAACCACACAAAACACCCACGGAAATAGGAAAAACGGAAACGAAAAAACAGATTTCCAAAAGCACAAGGGAAGGTTTTCTGGGGAGACAATAACCCGACAGACCAGTTGCAGAAACCAAAATATGCTAGTGTGTTTTAATCTCATGATTAATGTATGGATTTTTAGGCTAATAATTAGGCTAACACACTTACCGCTCACCTTTTCTTTGCGATAGATCCTCCACTTCTTTTAAGAGTCTCCCAGCACAAATCTTAGCATAGTTTGGTTCCTGCAACTGGTCCGTCGGGTTATTGTCTCCCCAGAAAACCTTCCCTTGTGCGTTTGGAAATCAGTTTTTGCCTATTTATGTTTTCGTGTTTTCTATTTCTGTTTTCTTTTTCCTATTTCTGCTTTTTCTATTTCCGTTGTGTTTTGTGTGCTTTTGCAGCGTTTTTCTTATTGCTGGTGTTTTGCAGTCAATTTTGTTAGGTATGCTGGATTACACAGATGGATTACGTGGCAGAAACACACACGGACGCAAAAAAGTTTGTGATGCAAGCTTTATATACACGAGTGGGGGGAATATTTACAAGGGAAGGGGCTATATACAGTGATGGATAAAAATGTGCCAGGAGATAAACACCGAGGAGATGAGACGGAGCCGAAGTATGCAGGTAGGCAGCAGACGGACCGGAGCTACCTGACAACAGGGAACAAAACAGAGCTTATGGCGTACCGTTGATAGCCGAACGTTAAACACAAGTGGACGGAGAGAGTTGGAGAGCTTACTTGACCACCCAAACCACAGCCGCTGCGGTGATCGCCGCCTGATGGTACGTAGCACTCCGTCGCGGATCCACAATAGCCAACACAAAATCCTAGGTAGGCAGGCAGGCGATGGAACAGGCTAAGACAAAGAGAAGCAGGCGAAACATGGATCCTTTAAAACATACAGCTCCACAGCGTAAAATCAACAGATGCAGCCTGTGCTGACTCGTTACCACTTGTGACAGCGACAATACTCCGACACCAGACGTCCGTGACTCTGCTCCCTAAAAGCGCTCACTGATGACGTCCGATGCGTCGCAGGTGTGCTGGAATGCCATCAAGCCCCGCCTCGCCTACCTACAACCAAAAGGAAAACAAAACCCAAACAACAACAATACACCTACCCACCACCTCCTAACACATTTGGCCTCACAGGGCCACTGTACTAAACTACTATACTACAACTAAAGCTTTACTACATATTTGTATCACCAAAACTACTATAAAGGTCCAGAGCCACATAAAATAAACACATGATATACGTTATTACATTTTTAATTATTATATAGTTAATATTAATAAAATATTTATATATAAAGTGTTATTATAACCCTAGAAAATAATGTATGTTTGTGTCATTTGACTGTTATTTTCTTTGATGAGGCATCCACATGATATATCCTGCAAAGCCTTTCCCCTTTTTCTTAATTTGAAATATACATTTATGACAGGAAGTGTGTTATTTAAGAGTATTGTCACTTTAATTAAGCATTTAAAGTTTAACAGTATTAAAAGGCTAATTTATCAAGTCTAGATGATGTGCAGTGTTTAACAAATTAATTAGATGACCTGTCATAAAGAAAACATGCAAATATTTTAGAAATCTGTCAAAAAATTGTTAAAGCTGAAAGTGACATTCTATGTGCAAGTTTGAGGCAGCATACTGGACTTCCCTGAGGAGTCAAATTAATCAGGCATAACATTCAACCACTAAAATGAATTTTCCTGTTCATGAATAACTGACATCTTAATCAAAGAATAATAATGTCCCTTTAGAAACGAGCACCTCCCTGCTTTTTATGAAACAGTACATTTAAAAATTAATGGATAACGAGAATCATTTAATTTTAGCATTAAAAATATCAATTTGATTAAACACCTTGTTCACACTGGTGTAATAATCAATACAGAAACACAAAAAATGATTTTGGTAATTACCAATACCGTTAATTTAGGGCAGCAGGGGCATAAACCTAATACTGGGTTTTTAAGCGCTTTTCTCTGCTTAAACTAACCAGCTGATTGGTCTCATATAACTATCAGCAGCATCAATTATTATGATTACTTTTGTGCGTTGTTGTCAATACATAATGCGAGCTGTTGATTAGAAAGTGTAGAATTGTAAAAATTCCTCATCTCGTCCTCATGAGATCCTTCTTTTGTTCTTTTAGCCGGCTAACATCGAGATTGGTAAGCACTCAAAGCAATTCACAGATTCACATCTAAAATGATCTAAAGATGTTCCTTCGCTCCTTATGTATTTGATCTGCTATTTCTCCTCATCTGTCATCTTTTTCATCTTTCTGCCATACAGCAGTGCCTGAGAAGCCGCCACGACTCACAGCAAAGGTAAGCAGATTTAGTTTTCTTAAAATTATTTTTAGGCCATAGAAAAACATCATTTAATTTAATAGCTTTGATTTTTGGATGAAAAATTATTCATAATTTGTCCTTTTTTTTGAACGGGCATCGATGCCACTGTTTTATCTAAGTAAGTGTCTTGTGATGTTATTTAGTATTTCAGTTCTTAAAACCTATTTACTCCTTTTTCAGCCTGCGCCCACAGCTGAGCTTGACCGCACAGATGACAAAGTATATCACTGCGTAATGGACTTGGTCAAAGTAGTCGTCCAGCTCAAGAATGACATCACTGGGCTGCAGCCAGAGCAATGCATTACCCATATCAAGGTACACTGAGACAAATGAACTGCTTTGCACTTCAGTGTTACAGTTTGTTGCTGCTTTAATGTTACATTTTGAAATGCAAAGACAAAGCTCCTGAGTCATTTCTGTATTGATTTCTGCCCACAGTCTGTTGGGATGGCATTAAGAGATTTAATTAGCAGTGTGGATGAGATACTGCCCACGTTACACGGGTCTGTGAGGACTGAGGTACAGTATGACAGGATTATTTTATTATTTCATTTCCTTTCTGTGCATTTTTATCCCTTTAAACACAAACAAAGCAAAAACTATACAACTATCCCTTTAAATCCCGAACCATGAAAAAATTGCCAGAAAATTCAATTTTCTTTTTAAAAATAGTGTTCGGTGAACCTCCTGACATAACAAAGAACATTAAATATGATTTTAAATATATGCATTTTGATTTATATAATATTTGCTACAAAACATTTTTTTCAGTTTATTTCTTGAAACTTTTTACTTTAAAAAAATCGCACTGATGTAGAAGTCACAAAAACTCATCAAATATGATACACTTGCCTTTAAAGTTTACATTTTTGGAGGGGGACACCCAGAATCCATATTTTTGCATCACAAAAGTACTGACGCAACGCCAGATTTCCTCAGCCGAAGAGCTGGCAAAACGTAAAACTCAGTCATCAAAGCGCCAATCTAAACGACTGATCCATTGGTCTTCTGTAATATCGCAGATCGAAGGCACCCAGAAGCTGCTGAACCATGACATGGGGGAGCTGATCAGCAAAATGCGGTTGGCTCAGCAGAATGCCATAACCTCTCTAAAGGAGGAGTGTAAGAAACAGATGCTGGCTGCCGCACACACTCTGGCTATGGACAGCAAGAACATGTTGGATGCTGTGGATCAAGCAAGAGTCAGGGCCAATTTAGCAAAGCCGGCTCCCCCCTAAAAGACATTAGATTTTTTTTTTTCAGTTTCACATCAAACTAAATAGGGACTTCTTTTTTTTTTCTTAATATGTGAAAGTCAAAAATAACATTTGTGCATTGTAAAGCATGCATTTTTAGTTGGATCACATCGATCAATCAGTGAAATGAATCCTGCAGCATCACCGGTACTTTGGATAGCCACTGTCACGTTAATGAGAGTTTAGTTTAAATGTGATGCTACATATGTATGGAACGCCAGGACTGCCATAATGAATTAATTAAATACACCATTAAATAATTAATTAAATGTGGCAATAATTAATTAAAATTGGAATTAATTAATTAAATAAATAGTTATGACACATGTAATTAATTAATTATTGACACATTTAATTAATTATTTATGTATTTCACATTTTAATTAATTATTGACACATTTAATTAATTAATTATTGACACATTTAATTAATTATTTATGTATTTCACATTTTAATTAATTATTGACACATTTCATTAATTATTGACACATTTAATTAATTATTTAATGATATATTTATTTATTTCATTTTGGCAGTCCTGACGCCTGGCTCTCATCATGAAATAATTTTATCTGTCAGCCTCACCCATCAAACTCAGGGGGCGGGGTTAACGCTGATCGAGTCAAAACCATTGCTTTGGCCTGGTGGCCATTGTTTCTAGCACACAACAACCGGCATGTGGAAGCTAACAGAACTGAGCTTTGAAAAACCCTGTTTGTGTGTTACCAAATACCGTTTTAATATTTTTTTAGCCGAGAATGTAGTGGTTTAATCTTCATGTGTCTGGTCGGTTTGTCAAGATACAGCCTCTTTGCAAAAGTGTTTCGATGATTTCGGAGATGTCTGCCCAGTCTCACGGCAAAGCGTGGGATAGACCCGCTCGCCTCGCAAGCAATCCCACCGACAAAGCGCAGGCCCCGGTACACAGCTGTAGTAACCCCCGCTGACTTCTTTTACTGAGGTTATATTTATCGATGTTTTATTTCCTGATGTTCTTATGTGTCCTACGTGTTTCAGTCGCCAATTCTGAATTATAACTAACATTAAAAACATGTTTAAGGAGGAGAGAGAGCAAATAAATCTGTTTAACATCTGATCTTTGGGTTTTTGTTCAGTAATCAGCGTGACCTGTGTATAAACACATAAAAGAGATAACGTTGGTGTTTCTGTCATGTAGTAACTGCTGGCTTTAACTGTACAAAGGTTGTTCGACACTATGAAACACATACAGACTTCATGATGTTCGGCTAATATTTTTATTGTGAATATTAATCATGCTGACCTCGCTCTGTACACCACGCAGCGAGGTCAGCATATCCACGATATCCTCAGCTCCATGAGTTAACACAAAGTTTCCCAGCTGACTATCTAACTACCAACTATTCCAGAGACGTGAAAATATACAGCATAAAGAAAAGTGTAAGAGACTCAGCAGCAGATTAGAATAACAGTTATACATTTAATAAATCACCAAATGAATCCAAGAAACGAGCAAACCTGTTCCGACAATTTGAATTTGTATTCCCTCAGCTGCAGACTCGCTGCTGTTTAAATGTTTGAAAAGGAAGATTAGATATAAACAAACGTCAAACATAGACTCAGTCTGCCTTCACATTTGATATGAGGCCAGCACGTATAGTGGCCTCAGCAGGCTATTACTGAAATACACGTGCTATATCATAAACTATGATATAAACAGGGAGGTCCTATTAACATGTTTAGTTTTAAAGGACACCTTCCTGCCTTTAGTCTCATTCATGAGCAGTATTAGTTTTCTTCTAACATCCAGAAGTCTGCACAATGTGTTTCATAGTTTGTAACAAGCCTTTGACAGGTAAACATAACATGACCGAAAAAGCAAAAAAAAAGAAAAAAAAAAGAGAGAGAGTGTTGACATAAGAAGAGAAAATTCTCTCAATTATGGAGACAGACAAATGGTTCATTTATGTTTGATGTGTGTTTATTCCTCCCTAAATATCGTCGGTGAAGTTCGCCATGCACGTCAGATTTTCCTGCGCATTTTTATACCTCTGCCAACAGAGAGAGAAAAAAAATCACATTCTAACAGACAGCTGGTGCTTAGAATACAGTTGAATAACTATTAAAAAACAGATGATATTTAGATGATAGTTCAGTCTAACACATGTGCCAGTGAACCATTAAACGTCTGTGAAACTATGCAGTTATGAAACGTAACTTTAACCTCAGCCAAACCGATTTGCTCAGTTGTAAATAAAACAGCGAAGTAAACGTGACCCGACAGACAGAACCTGAGTGAATGAAGTCCAGCGTTTAACCACTGAGAGCTAAAACTCAGCTGAGGTTTGAAAGCTGTGTGCCGGTGATTGGACATCAGCCGCTGATAAAGCTGTTCGCCTATAAAGTGCTCTGTAAGGAAACGAGCTCCAGCAGCTCTGCGCTCGGGGAAAACACTATATTTACTTATCTTGTGCAGAAAAATGCGCTGACATTGCGTTATATCGAGCACCGGCTGCCCAGTTAAACTGTGACTATCACCAGGTAACTAGGCGTGTTTCTTGAATTAGCAGCAGGTGTTAAACAGCTGACAGATGAGGAGGAGGATGCATGCAGGTAAACTGAGGGTCTGTTGAGCTGATCGCTGGTTTCGTGAGAAAAATGTCAGCTCGTTCTTTATGTTACAGAAGCACAGAGACACAAGACCAGGCGGAAAGAGACGATCGTTCGGTGAAAATGAGAATCTGCGAATGCAACATGTGGAACACGGAGAGTGGAATATGTAACCAAACCGGTTAACGTAACCCCCTCGGTGCGCTCTGCATGCTAACTGTTAGCAGAGCTAGTGAAATCTCTGAAAACATCTGAGCACTTTTGCAAACATGTTCTATGTTGACAACCTGACCAGACATACGTCGCGACATTCGCGGCTAAAACACTGTTAAAAGTGTAGCTGGTGACAGAAAAACGGGGTATTTTAAAACTACACCACCACCATTGCTGCTTGTGATTTGATCTGCATTCTGGGATAACTGGCTGCCCCAAGTCTACACAAGCAATCGATTTTCTAGGATCGACCTGTTTTGACTTACTTTGCACGGCAACCAATCAAATGTTAGAGAAGCTGCATGGGCAGCGTTAACCCCGCCCCCTGAGTTTGATGGGTGAGGCTGACAGATAAAATTATTTCATGACGAGAGCCAGGCGTCAGGACTGCCAAAATGAAATAAATAAATAAATATATCATTAAATAATTAATTAAATGTGTCAATAATTAATTAAATGTGTCAATAATTAATTAAAATGTGAAATACACAAATAATTAATTAAATGTGTCAATAATTAATTAATTACATGTGTCAATAATTAATTAAAATGTGAAATACATAAATAATTAATTAAATGTGTCAATAATTAATTAATTACATGTGTCATAACTATTTATTTAATTAATTAATTCCAATTTTAATTAATTATTGCCACATTTAATTAATTATTTAATGGTGTATTTAATTAATTCATTATGGCAGTCCTGGCGTTCCATACATATGGATGCATGTGTATTTTTAGGTAATGCAATAATACAGAAATGTGTCATTTTCCTTTTGCGGTCCCCTTGCATCATGTTTAGGATGTCAGTTATGCTAAATTTTAAATGATAACTGTATCTGTGTGTGATTGGTGAAGTGTTGACTCAGATATTTGCTTTGAAAGTTGTATTTGTAAATATAAAATGTGTTGCATGGGAAATGTTTCATGCAAAAAAGAAAACACATGTGAACAGTTTACTTTTGTCAGTAGTGAAATGTAAATATAGCATCAATGGCGTTTTGTTGTCGTCTTTGGTTGGCTGTATCGCACAAAGTCATGGGAATTAAAATCCACCGACCAGTGAAGGAAGCTCCCAAAAATCATATCCACGACAGATCGACCTGGTTTCACTTAAATCCAACCAAGATTGTAGGATAAGTAGCGAATTTTGTGAACGCTGAAAACTGCCTTTAAAATGACAAACACGACGTGGAGCTTAAGCACAGTTTGGCTGAAGAGTCATTAGGTGATCAAATTACTGCAAATTCTGAGCCATACTCTAGAAGGATGAGTGATTCTAGTGAACTGTAGAGGGAGGAGTGGATGTGTGCCTTGGCTGGATGAGATAAAAATGACCATATTAAAAGGTTAGTTGGCCGTTTAAGTGGCATGACTCACACTAAACCAATGAACTAAAGAGCACAGTATTATCCTCACAAAGACCCAGCAATTCATTGTTGTCCTCTGTTAGGGACATGAGTCTGAGACCTCTGCATCAACCACAATTTATGCATCTGAGTCATACTGTAGTGTCAAGAGGACATACTGGGATTTCTATTGGTGGCACATATGTCGGGGTTGGGTTAACAGAGCGCATGGACTTTCTTTTCAAAATGATGGGCATTGCAGCTCCAGATTTATTTAAGGGAGATTAAATGATACGATATATACACACACATATAATTCTTTGATTTAGTTGGATTTCATAATTTTAACACTTTCAAAACAGAACTTTCATTCCCAGTCCTTTGTAGTGGACAGTAGGACTTACCAACTTCCATTTATAAGTGAGACGAAGAGAATTTTACCCAGAATTGTAGACAGGGTCTCAGGCGCATAGCTGTCTGGGGATGAAGTGTAGGAGGGCCAGGTATTAAAGCAGAAAGGTGAAAGTTCAAAGCACCTACCAGCATTCGAGAAGCGTCACTGTCCATTTTTACATCGCCACAGACTGAGGTTGCCAACCAAAGAAGAATCAACAGATATATTTCAAGACAAAGATTAAACTATTTGGCCACAAAAGCAAGAGGTATTTTTGGAGGCATCAAGGTGAGGCTTTTCAAACCTAACGACACTGCATCAACTGTCAAGCATGGTGGTGGTAGTATCATGCTCTGTAGCTGTTTTGTTGCCAGTGGTACTGGTGTGTTGCACAAAATGGATAGCCAAATGAAGGGGGATTACCTCAAAATTCATTAATCCGCTAGACCAGTGGTTCTTAACCTGGGTTCGATTGAACCCTAGGGGTTCGGTGAGTCAGTCTCAGGGGTTCGGCAGAGCCTCCGCCGTGACATGCATGGCTCATTTTGTGCACCAGTAAAAAACATATCTATGTCTTGAATTTCAAAAAAAATATCATATTTTATTTTTCACTAAAGAGGGGTTCAGTGAATGCGCATATGAAACTGGTGGGGTTCGGTACCTCCAACAAGGTTAAGAACCACTGCGCTAGACGGTTAAACT